AGGAGGCGGTGTTAGCTTTAAATACTGCCCGGTGATGAGGGGAAATTCATAGACTCATAGAATGTTTAGGGTTGGAAGGGACCACTAGTGGTCATCTAGTCCAACCCCCCTGCAGTGAGCAGGGACACCGCTAACTAGATCAGATTGCTCAGAGCCCCATCCAACCTGGCCTTGAATGTTCCCAGGGATGGGGCCTCCACTACCTCTCTGGGCAACCTGTTCCAGTGTTTTACCACCCTCATTGTAAAGAATTTCTTCCTTACCTCTAGCCTGAACCTACCCTGTTCTAGTTTAAAACCATTTCCCCTTGTCCTAACACAGCTGGCCCTACTAAAAAGACGTTCCCCATCTTTCCTATAGGCCCCCTTTAGGTACTGGAAGGCCGCAATCAGGTCTCCCCGTAGCCTTCTTTTCTCCAGACTGAACAAGCCCAACTCTCTCAGCCTGTCCTCATAGGAGAGGTGCTCCAGCCCTCGGATCATTTTTGTAGCCCTCCTCTGGACCCGTTCCAACAGTTCCATTTGAAAAATGGAAAAGATGGAAAAATTGAAAGATGTTAGACGGAGAGGGGTGGTTGATCATCGGTTTTTTTTTTTTTTTTTTGCTTCTTAGGGCCATAGTTTAGTGGTGGGATGGCAGGGTTAGGTTAACAGTTGGACTTGATGTTCTTAAAGGTCTTTTCCAACCTAGATGATTCTATGATTCCAGTAAAGAGTACTAACAGAACCTCCTACAAGGATGGGAAAAGCGGGAAGCTCGCTCTTCCCCTGTTACTGTCCAGTTCCTTGTAATACTATGAGAAGTAAGACTTCCAACGGTGTTCCCGAACAGTAATTGGCGTACCCTGTAACTAGGCACAATTGCCAGCGAAAGGTATTTTACAATGATTTTGGTTACCCTAGCTGTTGCGCAGGGTGGAGGCTGACAGCTTACTTCACCTACCATGAGGGGCAGCCCTGGTTTTGCACGAAAACTGCCTGATCTTCCTGCAGTGGGTCAGAGATTTGTACTTCCTACTAACCAGGGAAGTGCTTCCTTACTTTAGGACTCCCAAATGCTCAACCTTTCTCAATCTTTTACTTTTGCTAACTTGAAATCCCTGAACGTTGGTGGCAATTTGCATCAACACAAAGAGCCATAAAGAAGCACGAGAATAAAATGTGTGACCTAGTACCTGAGCCATCTATATTAACTGGTTCTGTTGCTCTGTGCATGTGAAGTGGGCTAAACGCATCTACCACTCAGCCTTCCACATGCAGAACAGCGGGAGCCCGTCCTGCAGACTGTAATGGATGCCTGGCTTTTCCTTTTTATATATCACATACTGGAATTGTTATAGTTCACAAAGAAAGCTAGAATTTGTGAATTATATTCAAGAACTTTTATTAAATTGAAATGTGAACACCATTGCAAAGAGATTTTACAATGACAAAAGATTGAAAAGTCCATCAGAAAGCTACAGACTTAAGTAACAATATTGATCTTAGAAGTGAAATTGCTAACAGATTTTATTAAAGCCAGCATTTTCAATATTAAGAACTTAAAAAATAAATTTTAAAGCATTTTCCTTCAGATACACTTAGAAACAATGAAGAATTCCTGAGCAACTATTTTTATACCAGTATTCTCCAACCAACCTACATACTGCATATGAAATCTACTTTCTATAATTTCTTAAATTTTAGAAATTTAAAAAATATTTGGATCTGGTTCATAGAATAATTGTGCTTCGAGTCATTCTGTTGCTACAGTAATGACACTACGATAACTTGGATGTACCAGACTGCATACAAATTCTGAAATTGCAATGGAAAAAATGCCTAGCTTGTATTGCAAGGCTACCAATGAAATGGTTTATGCAAATGGAAGTAAGTTTGCTTTAAGTACTGGATCATCTCTTTCGCTGCTGGCAAGCATATTGTTTATTCTGCATATTATTCAGAACACGCAACTTAATTTATAAATATGTTTCTTTGAGAGACCTGCTGGCACAATTAAAGGCAAGGAAGTTCCAGAGACTTTTACCTGCACTTAACAGCATGGCAGAAATTTGAACAAATACGATTAGTCAACTACTGCTGACGTATTTTTTTCTGGGCAATACTTTTTCAGACTATCACCCTCAGTATTGCTGCATTTTACACAATGACTAAAAAAATAGATGAAGCACGATATAAAGATTTCAGAGGCGCAGACAGTGCTGAGCATCTCTGAACAATATCATGCATGTGTGGAACTGATGGCTGTGTTATTCCAGAAGAAGAATGGTATTTGTAGTCAGATTAAAAAAAATACTTCCTACAATGAAACATAAACAACACTAAAGCAGCCCGGGAGCTCTTTCTGAGTATCTTTGAGCAGTAGTTTCCTCTTCTTTTTGGAATGAAGGGCACAGGGATGAGACTTACAAGTAGTTAAAGCATTATGAATATTAAAAAATATGATTTGACATATTATATTTCTGCATGTATTCTGCATGGAGAAAAACCTGGCTCTTCCTAGACATGTATAATTGTCTGTCCTACTGAAGGGGTATTTTCTACATTTGACTGTTTCTGCAAAGATTTCCAGCATCCTGTAAAAATTCTACTCAGTGCTACATGTCTGTAAAACTGGCAATTGCAGTCTTTGTCGGAATTGAAGTGAAATCTTTCCATTTTTACTGATGTCAAAATGAGGTGAAGGTGCTCAGCAGCTCACAAAAACAGACCCAGAAGCAGCATTGTCCAAAACCAAAAAAGTCAAATAAAGACAAGGTCCTAGACAAGCAGCATCACAAAGTAGAACAGGACATTAAACCTTCCAAAAAGAAAAGAGGAAGATGTGAAAAAAGACTTAGTTATATCTAACTTCTCTACACACCAATATCTTGAGTATAAGCCCAGCTTTTAGCATATCCGCACTGCAAGAGGCCACACAACTAATTCAGGTATTTTTTTTAATTACTCTTGACAGATACAATAGTTACTTACTCTTAAAAACTTAGCTTAAATGCGAGAAATGTATTTTAAGCCTGACTTGGTAATTTTCCAAATTTATTACCAAGACAGGCACTTTCTGATTAAAGAAAATATTAACAGATACATTGTCACAGGTAGAAACTAAACAATCCCCATAAATGCCAAGAGACTATTTGCTAGTATTTGCAAAGTCCTTTTTCTCTTGGAGCTTCTAAGTAATTACATTTTCTTTAATAAATAAAAACCAGAAGAATGCATAAGAA